CCCCCTTTTTATACAACATTCACTACTAATGGAATGACTCTGGCCATATTATATTCTTTAAAAGTTTGGTTTTTCTGTACTGTTATTAGTTTGGCTTACCAACCTATGGTCTTTACCATTATCTTGCTATATCCAAAAATGTGGTACACAGAGCACCAACTTTAAAAAACTTCCCTGTTTTCATACCCAGCTGGGTTATCAGAATTCTAGAGGCCTAACCAATCTTTGGAAACGTATCATCTTAGAAGCTCTTTATAACGTCATGCTAACTTTTAAATGGCCAAGTAGAGACTATGCGAGTACTCAATAACTGGGATATCACTTAACAAAGATCAATTCTATTTTAGTTTGCCACAGTAGGCCACTGGCTTAAGCCATTTTTAAAAAGACAGTCCGCAAATATTGCTTTCAGTTGGATCCTACCTATTCCTCAATTCCAAAAGCACTACTTAGTTTAACGGAGAAGGGAGTCAGGTAACAAGCTTGTGTCTAACTTAATTTCTGATGTTTATAAAATAATTTTATGAAAACTCAGCAAAAAATAAAGAACTGCAGTAGTAGATTCATTTTATTGTCTCAGCATTGGTTTAAGAAGCCGATCAGTGAAACATTGATAAGTAAAATCTTACAGTTTGAAGAACTCTTGATGATGAACACAGTTTTCAATGACTAAGGTAAAGAGAAAGATACATCTAACCACCTATTTTAATAATAAAAGAACATGCTATATGTGTATAATGCTTTGCAGTGTATACCATCTCTTATACCTTTCTATCTGATTTTATCCTTGCAGCTATAAATGCAGGTTGATACTTGAGAGGTTCATGGGTTTAACATCCTGCTCCAATTCATACTGCTTACGTCTTAGGCAATATTCCAAGTCACAGTTTTCTGTCTCCTAGTTCACTTTACAATGACACATACTATTTCACATATCATAAAACATAAGAGGACTACAAAATTTTGAAATGTTTAGTTTACATTCTGTCCTGAATATTTGATAATTGGAGCTTATGGAATTTGTCAAAAAATGAGGAAATGACACCAAAAAAGGGAAATAAGATTAGAAATAATTCAAAACACTGTGACCTTTTTAAAACTTCAAAAGCTCATTATTTAATGGCTTTTTAATAGAAGTTTCATAGTTTTATGTACAAGGAATAAGAATTGGGAATTTATATAAAGGATACAGAATAAAGAATAAAAATGGTAACTTCTCATTTAAGTGTTCTTTTATACATAAGAACTTTTACATAGATTTTAAGTCAATCATAAGCACAACTTATTATCTGCAATCTTGTACACTAAGTACCACAGAATGAACTATATTTTAAGCCTTGAAAAAATTTAGGATCCATAAGATTATCTGAACATAAACAATTCAGGAAAATATGGGAGAAGCTTGCGGCATTATTTACAATAGCCAAGATAATGGAAAAACCTAAGTGTTGATGAATGAGCGGATTTTTAAAAATGTGGTATATATACACAAGGAATATTATTCATCCATAAAGAGAAGGAAATCCTGCCACTTTCAACAACACAGATAGACCTCAAGGGCATTATGTTGTGAGGTAAGTCAAACAGAAAAGACCTGGTACATGACCTGTTCATAGCTGCACTATTCACAATAGCCAAAAGGTGGAACCAATGCAGATCCCACCAACTGACAAATGGATAAACAACCAATGCAGTATTAGCCACATAATGGAATATTATTCAGGGAAGGAGGGTGCGGGGGCTGCTTAATGGGCACGAGATTTCTGTGTGGGGTGATGAGAAAGTTCTCAATCTAGAGAGTATGATGGCTGCACAGCACTGTGAATATACTTAATGCCACTAAACTGTACATTTTAAAAATGGTTAAAATAGTAAGTTTTATGTTATATGTATTTTACCACAATAAAAAATGAACTCAAAATGAATCACAGACATAAGTGTAAAACTACAAAACTTTTAGAAAAAAAATAAGCAAGAACTGGTATGTATGATACACAACAAACTCTCGAAACTCACCAGTTAAAAAAAACACTACTCAGTTAGGAGATGGAAAAAATCATTCATAGACAAGGTAAATAAACACACAAAAAGATGTTTAACATCATTAGTCATCAGGGAAATGCAAATTAAAACCACAAGATACCACTAAACAAGTAGCAGAATGACTAAAAAAATAACGACAACCCCAAATGCTGGAGAAGATGAAGAGAAACTGGATTCCTTATACACTGCTAGTGGGAATGTAAAATGATATAGCAACTCTGGAAAACAGCTCTGCATTTTCTTAAAAAATTAAACATGCAACTAGCATATCACCCGGCAATTACTCTCCTGGTCATTTAACCCAGAAAAAGGAAAACATATATTTTCATATCAAAACACAAAAATCTATACTGATACACAATAGCAGCCTGAATAAATCTCCAGTGAATTATACTGAGTAAAAAAAAAAAAGGCCAATCACAAAATGTTACATAGACCATGATTCTATTTATATAATACAGCAGGTTTCAAATAATGTTTTGTTATAATGCTGATGAGATGCTGTAGGAACTTAACTCTTGTTTATATAAATTACCTTA